TCTAAACATAAAGCAATTTTGACCATTTCTCCTCTTTCTTACAGTATGAGTCTAATTGTGAAATAGCATCATAATCAATACTTCCCTCTGCATTCAATTTTGGCTCTAGAAAGTAGGCAGGCCATTTGCAGGTGCAGAAAAATACTAAACTGCTCTAATATGGGGGTTGAACATTTTCCAGTGCTTAAGAATACATTCCCAAGGAGTAAGATTTTAACAGTGATTATCCCATCTCCATCCAAATATCTTGGTGGAACCTCCAAGTGATATAGGGTGTATGCTACAGGGACCTCCAAATGATCCAAATTAATAAGGGAAACATAACTCCCAACCTGTTAGATGTCTGATCAGCTGAATTCATGTTCTCTAAAGTCGAAAAATGAATTCTAGGAACAATGGAGGTTAAGAGTAGGAAGTACCTGTTAAGAGAAAAAAGCTTCTGTCTAAAAGGGGAAGAAGGGCCAGGCATGGTGGTGCACGCTTATAGTCCCAGCACTGGGGAGGCTGAGGCAGGAGGATTGTTGAGAGTTTGAGACAAGCCTGGGCTACAAAGTGAGCTCAAGGCCAGCCTGAACTGCATAGGGAGACCCTGTCTCAAAAAGACAAAACAATAAAAATAAAAAATAAAAAATAAGTAAATAAATAAATTAAATAAAAGGGGAAGAAGGGAGTTCCCAGTGGGTGGCCCCTCTTCACAGTGACTTGAAAAGGTAGGTGAATGTAGTGGTCAATGCCATAGAAGGCACATACACTTTAAAACTACTTGTTCCGAGATCACTAAGTCTACTTAGCCACGTAAGAAACAAGGAAAAGGTAGGAAGGGAAGCTGACAGCAACGTTTCTATCTTGAGTGCTGGGCAGAGGGTGAGAGGGAAATGGAGGAGGGTCTGATGAGTACTGGTGAGGGTCTGCTGAGTCTGACGTGGCTTTGGGATGTCCTTGTGGAAATATTCTGCAGGCAAATACAGTGTAGGTCCACAGCTGAGGAAATACTAACTGAAGATGTACACTTGATAATCCTGAAAGAGTAACTTGCTAATGAGACCTACGTGTACTGTAGTGTGAATTGAGTTCTCCCGAGCAGCGAGTTTTGTTTCATAAATAGCATTTAACACAGGCTGAGTGGCTGCTCCCCTGCATGTAAAGGGACTTTCAAGAAGTAGGGGGGTGACTGGCTAGGTAAGTCTAAGGCATTGCTGTTCTCAGGACCCAGAAACACTCAGGGTTCTGGACGCTTACCCTCGAGGTAAAGTACAACACACCTGTCAGGGTGGCACAAAACCAACTCCTCAGAGAGGCCCCTTTTCATGTTCCTGAGTACCTCTGAACTGCCTAGGGAGTCAGTCATTGAAAGATTTTAACCAGAAGACTGCACGGTGAGGTTTACGTTTTAGAAAGATGTCTCTACGGTAAGGTAAAGGAGAAGGGGAATTTCTGACCTAGGGGAGGAAAATCGTGTAAGACAGAATAGAAGTATCTGTGTAAGAGATAATGAGGGCCTGAACTAGGCAACAACAACAAAGTAAAGGAGAAGTGGTCGAAAGTAGAACTGAAGATTTGGAGACCTTTCCGATTGGGAAGTAAAAGGGCATTTCTACAATAATCCCATAGTTCTGGCTTGGGAGATCCTTAACTGGGACAGAGAACAAGAGAAAGCAGTTTGCGGCAAAGGGAAACATGAATTTAATTTAGGAGTTTGAGATGTCTGTGGTGCATTAGGTTGAGCTGCGCAGCTGTTTGCTGTGTTTGGAACCTGAAAGTGAGATCAGTTTCGGTCTGGATGCTTTTTAGGCCCACAACACAATTATCCTCAGACATTTCTTCCCTGGTACATTGGGAAGCACAGTTTCCTGTTTTTCCTTTATTCAGTTTACTGTCTTGTTTTGCTGAAGCATACTGGTAAGTAAATTCCTAAGAAAGGCACAGAAGTAGATATACTGAGCCCTTGTATTTCCAAGAATAGCTGAATTTTGCCTTAATCTACTCATGCTGAGCACAGAATTCCAAGTTGAAAATACTTTTCCATCTGCACATTGTTACTAAAAAACAGTGCCAGCTTAGATTTTATTCCTTTGCAGCTAATGTCCTCCGTATCCCCACTACTTTCTGAGAGAACATTTTAGGAGTTCCCTTTTGTTTTAGTGTTCTAAAAACTGACGTCTTTTTCAGTCCACAGAGATTTTCTTCTATTACTCCATTGATGATTTCCACCCCTCTCTTTTCTTCCTGGAATTATTATTCTTTGGCTATTATCTATCTGACAGTAGTTCTCTACATCTCTTATCCCTTCTCCCTCTTTTTGGTATTATCATCCCTATTTTGAGGGATTGTTCTCTGCTTATTTTTAAAAATTTTTTTATCTTTATATTTTGATACTGGGAATTGAATCCAGGACCTTCATATAGCTACATTCCCATGCCCTGCCCCTTTTTAATTTTTTTTAAATTTTGAGGCAGGATTTTGCTATGTTGCCCAGGCTGAGCTAGAACTTGTGATTTCCCTGTTTCATTCTGGTTTTGGTGTTCTAAAATCTCATGACTTTTTCAGCCCATGGAAATGTTCTCCTATTACCTGAATGATGTTTTCCTTTCTGGGAATTATGGGTACATACCACCACACCTTATTTGATTTTTTCTGTCTTAAATGATCTTATTCTTTAAATTAGATGCCTCCTCAGATTTGTTATTAGTATAGACCCTTTCAATGCCCTGAACTTTCCCACTTCTTTCAGGGACGGTTTTTGGTACTGTTTACTCTTTACTTTGTTATTAGTTTCATTTGATTTTTCTCTTTTGGGATGGTTGTATTTATATGCCTGATGGTCCTTCGTTGTCTACTTATGTTTGAGAAAGGTCTGAAGAATGGTGTGTTTTTCCTCAATCATTGCATAAATAGGTCTGTTTCCTCAACAAGTTCTTCCTCTGGCTGGGAACATGGACTGTACATAGTACATGATGGAAAGTGGACTGACAAACTGTACTTTTCATGAGAAGGCAAGAGTGGGACATTAGATTGTGGCCTCATAAATGGCATTATAGGAAGGACATTTTGCATAGTAATTATGAGTGTCTACATGAGAAACGTTAGCTTTTGTCAGGTACTCTGGTCAGTGTTCTCAGAGGACAGCCTTCTGGGTCCTCATCTAAGAGTAAGCACTTTCGATCTGTGTGAGGGAAATGGCAGTAGATCCCAGGGGATGCTTGCTGAGCATCATGTAACATGCTTGTGTTTGCTCAGTTCCTGTTCCTACCAGTTATCATATACAGACTCTCAGCAGAGAATCTCCCAGGTTTCCGAACACATACTCAGTTTGTACACCCTCTGAAGCACTCTTACACCATCTGGACTAAATATTATCTGCTGGTTTCATGCTTTCAACAACATGCTTTCACATCTGCCTTTTGTCTTTCAGGAAATTTCTGTAACCTCACCAGTTAGTTAACTCCTACTCTCTTTGTGAATGGTTTCCTTCTTGTACTTTTATAATTTTATTTCAGTGGTCCCTCAGGAGAGGCAGGATACAATCTGTCATCTTGAAGCGCATCATAAATAGTTCACAAAGGTTTTAATATAACTGTTTCCTTTGCCCAGGATCTAAGCTATATATTTGATTCATCCCTCCAATGAGTATATCTATTGTCATCGACATTCATTCATTAACTATTTAATAAATACAGACTATGTTCCAGGTGCCACAGACCTAGTGTTGAAAAGATATAGCTTACTGTATGTATTAAGGACACAGATGCATAAACAAATAATTTCAATGTATTTCAACAAGAATTCAGTGCAGCAAGAGAATACTGGAGAAGACATACTCAAAACTTCCTGATGGCCGGGCGTGGTGGCGCACACCTGTAATCCCAGTACTCAGGAGGCTGAGGCAGGAGGATCACTGTGAGTTCAAGACCAGCCTGGGCTACAAACTGAGCTCAAGGCCAGTCTGAACTGCATAACGAGATGCTGTCTCAAAAAAAAAAAAAAAAACAACCCAAAAAAACAGAAAACCAAACTTCCTGATGGATTCACAAGGAAATTGGTCATCAAAGTCTGTGCCTGAAGGAAGGGTAAGTTTCCAGGTAGATGAGAATAAGGAGATAAAGGAGGTAAGGGTAGAAGGACCAAGTATGTACAGTGTAAGGAAAAGAGGACAGCACTGCATAACAAGTACCACCCCAAAATGTGAATAGTGTAAAGAATGAAATACCCCACCCTAGAAGTACTCACATGGCCACATCTAGCAAGAACAGTTCTGCATCACTGGTATAGGGAGACGGGGAGACAGCTGAGTCTCAGGCACCACACATAGGCTAAGCAGTTTCTGTGATGTTCTTCAGGAACAAAGGGATCTTAAGGACCAGACTTGGGTGAGATACAGAGGCTTCACTGGGCAGGGACCTCTTGAATATAAGCCAGTGAGTGGCTGCACCACAGATTTGGTGTTGGCTATAACACAATGTCCAAAAAGCCAGAAGAGTACATTTCAGAAGTCACCAGTGCACTGAGAAGACCAGAGCATTTCTTCCATTGAAGAAAGACAAGGAACAAGTATCTGACGAAGGGAAATGCCATGAATCTGAGTCTTCTTTAGCAGCATAACTACAAAAGTCATGTAAGACCCCCTTCCTTGTACATCAAGGGACCACCTTGAGGAAGATCAGGGGCAAGAAGTCTAAAAGACTGAACACTGACGGATGGAGGTCACATCATCCAAAAGAGACAATTTAAATTACTATGGTCCTTTACCCTTGCCCATCACCCACAGGAAGTAATGCATAAAGGAACTGCATTTCAGTAGACTGTAAACTTAACAGTTACTTCTGATTATTATTGAGATTATGGTATTTGATGAGTAACAATCTGTAATAAGAGTAAGTCTTTCCTTGAATTATAGTGATGTTAGTCAAAGTTCAATACTTTTCCCATGACTTCAGTTATAATTAAAATTTATTTCCAGTTCAAAAACAATGAGAAAAACTGTGCTGTTAAATTTCACGCACCTCTCTTTTTAGCCAGTCGTTCTCCAAGATCTCTCGATAACTACCCCTGTCAATTAAACTTACAGCATTCTGAAATAAGGAAGAGTTGCCACATGGTAATTCACAATGTTAGCAAAGGGGACACACATTCATTTTAAATTGTGCTTTGCAATACTTTGAGAATGTATAAGATCTTTTTGTTTAGCTCTTTCTTTAGTATCTGGTTACACTTTTGGGGCTGAGTTACACATTCTATTATAGATGAGCTGGAGAAGTGGACAATGTGTGTTGTGCGTGCATTTGGCCTCCACTGTGACTGAATCTGACTGCTGTGGGGAAATCAGTACTTAAGTGATCTGCTTCATAATTAAGATGGTTAAACTGTAGTGATCAAGCATTTTTTTTTTTTTTTTTTTTTGGTTTTTCTCCGGTACCAGGAACCGAACTCACAACCTTGCACTTGCCAGGCAGGCGCTTTTGCCGCTGAGCTAAATCCCCAGCCCCAGATCAAGCATTTTTAATAGTTAGATATAACTCAACATACATCAAATTTTCTGTATGTTAGTAGTAACAACATACCTGTTTACAGACATAATAGCAAGTGGTTTTAGGGTAGCAGGCTATAAATGACACAGTTTTCTAAGGAAAGGCATTTTAGACAACGATAATAGGGAAAGCCTTGACAGTAGGTTCATAAAATGCATATTTGGTTTCAATTACTTGGCGATTTATAGTTTCACTCACAAGAATTTTACAGTGGATGTCACTGTGCTTCTCTGGAGGTTCTTTTGTAAAGAAATTATATTACAAATTCAATATTCAGTAACCGAAGGACAGAACCAAAGGAAGAGCAGCTAAGAAAAATACTCTAAGGGGGAGAAAAAGAAAAATATTCTAGATCATAAACACGGACAGAAGTAATTTAAAGATGTGGTAAGGGTAAATTTATCTTTACATCTTAGGGTTGGAAGATTTTCAAATGAAAAAGATCTTTAAATCAGGTTTATTAAACCAAGAGTGGACATATATTTCACAGGAACCTGGAAGTTCTGTACTTCAACTGCAACAGGTCTACTTTCCTCCAACATAAAATTTCACAAAAGTAGGAAACAGCTCCTAACTGTGGTGAGCTGACTAACAGTTTAATTCACTAACAATGCAGCAGTGCCTTAAACTTTGGCTACACGAGAATCTCTGGAGAGATATGAAAAATCCATAAATCCACGCATCATTCCAGGGCAATTACACCACCATCTCTTGGGTGGGACCCAGACATCACTTGGGTTGAAAAAATACATTTGTAGGTGACACATCCATGTTTAGCTAAGACTACACAGCACTGGATAATAGGAAGTTGAACTGTAATGCCAAAATAACTGGCTAAGAGGAGGAAAATTCATCCAAGCATGTGAGTGTTCAGTGTTATAGAGAAAAAAATTAATGTATTTTGTAATGATTGTGACCAATGATTTGAAGGCGGTCTGAACTGGGACTGGGTTCTCTCACTTGGGCAAATCATACTATTTCTCTGTGCCTCACATTCCTAATTAGCAAGTTCCTACACCTTTTAGGGCTGGCAAGAGACTTAAATGTAAAATGCTTGTAAAAGTATTTGGGACAGTCCTCATGACATGTGCTTGAAGTTACAGGCTTATTTCATCTACACGTGCATTTTTAATAATCTTAATATAGTCAGATTAGTCAAGGGTTGACTTCACCATTTAGTCAGATTCTGTCACGCAACTGCATGGGCAGACAAACCACTGACCAACTGGCCAACCACTGACCATACTCCTCTATATCTGTGTAAATTAGTGTAAGTCATGTGACAGAAGAGTAACACCGTAAGGACAAGTGAGCCAACAGGGGTGCAACAAACAGCAGCATGAAATTCATAAGACTTTGAAAAAGCTTAGATATTTATAATTCAAGGAACAATGCTCCAAATAAAGGAACATTCCCATACTGATTTAGGAAACAATTTGAAGATAGGAGGACTGTGGGGGGAAAAAAATTAGATATTTTGTGTAAGAGAAATTAGAGAACACATACAGTTAGAAATTTTATCTCAGCTGGGTGTGGTGGTGCACTCCTATAATCCCAGCACTCGGGAAGCTGAGGCAGGAGGATCCTTGTGTGTTCGAGACCAGCCTGGGCTACAAAGTGAGCTCAAGGCCAGCTTGAACTGCATAGTGAGACACTGTCTCAAAAAGACAAAAAAAAAAAAGAAATTTTATCTCAAAAAATGTTTTATATCCCAGACTTTTCAAACAACAGCAACATAGGGTGTACTTATGCTCCTAGGTTTGGATGTATAAGAAAGTATTTTTCAGAAAATTTTTTTTCATTCTATAACTCACTCAAAATATTTAATATTTTGTTAAAATCATGATTATACTTTAAAAATCACTAATTGCTTCTTATCAAGACACTGCTACTTATCTCATTCAATCTTCAAACTATTTCTCTAAGATTAAATACTATTAGTGTTCTTACTTTATAAATTAAGCAACATAAGCTCAATAAAATTAAGTAACAGACTTGTTTATACAGTCAGAGAAGTTTTAAGAAAATTGAAATACACTGTCTACAGTCATACCACCCTGAATGTGCCCAGTCTTGTCTGAAATATACCTGTGCGGCCCATTCCTTCTTTTGGTCCAGTTGCAGCAAAGTGTCTCTGATTATTTTCTTTCTAGTATCTTCTAGAGTGATTTTATACTGTTCTTTAAAGAGAAAATGAGAAGTCTTAACAAGGCTGATCCTAGGTAAAACTAATGTTAGAAAGTTTCACTTTCCATGATCCTTACCTCTCTTCCTACCCATTTTTTCCTCTGAATCCTCAAAGTACATTTTTACTGAATCATCCAGCTCCTACAGTTAGAAGAAATGCCCAATAATTTACCCACAATTTAATGTGAATTAATGTGGAGTCTAAGATCTCCACAAATGCTTGTATTTTCAAAGGATTGTCTCTCCAAAGAGAGAATTTTAAATGCTTTGGTATGTATGTAGCAAGTTATCCTTATCTTCCACAACTTATGAATCCACAACAGAGATAAAGAAGATTTTATTATCTGCTTGAGTAGCACCCTGTACAACTGACCCCATGTAACTAGATTTCCTATATTCATGCATTTCCTGGGGCAGGACAGACAGGATGAGAAGAAGAATGTTGGGGGTGGGGTGTCGGGAGTCAGGACACGCAATCTACGTTGGGCTCACGGAAGAAAGGGCAGAGACGAAGCGCACGGTTCTCTACCCGCCCCACGTTCTCTTCTGCTCGTAAATGTCATCACTGAGAGAGAGGGAAGGGTCATAAGTGTCAGACCTCAAAAGATATAAAAAGCATATGACCAATATACCTTTTTAAGGAAACTGAGGCACAGTGACATCAAGGCTGATTTAGGTAGGAGAGGGAAATAAAACAATAAAAGGAGCTCAGTTTTTTATTTTTTAAAACAATTATCAAGCTCTTTCTATGTGTCAGACATTACAAAAGAGCCTGGGAGTATTTCTAATTGAGACAAAAATCCCTATCTTTATGGTATGTATATTCTTATGGAGAAAGCACAGCATAAATAAGAAAACATAATTTTTCAGTTGGTAACGTGTGTGATGAAGAAAAACTAAATCTTTTTCAGATAGGGTGACCAGAAAAAGCTTTTTTTATGACATCTGAGTGGACTGAATAAGGTGCTGTAGTTGAAAATGTGAAATATGAAGCGACTGTCCTATTTCAAAAGACTTAATCTGACTATTAGCAAAGGTAGTTGTTTTATTATAACATCAGTGTTATATATCCCCATTAGCTGCTTGTATTTATAACACATACAAGATAATTATTTGGAAAGAAAGCAAGATGTATTTTCCAATACAAATAATGTATAAGATCATGGTTGCTAGAACTCTAGACAGGCCTGTAGAAACCTATTTAACTTATTCTTTAACTAAATAAAAATGTACAAAGAATGCTGCAGAACCTAACTTCCATTAAGGATATTGTTTCAGTGGGAAAAATTCTTCACAGACCTAGGCAGCCAAAGCAGAATTCTTGGGATCTTATGCTATAGGGAAGAAGATGTGCAGGTTTCATCTTCCAATAGACCAGGAGGAATACTGGAAAAGCAGCTGCTGGAAATGTAAGTCTCTTGGAGAATATCTGAAGACTCACATTTTACAGATCAAGAAATTAAGACTTAAAGGAGTCATGTTAATTTTTTGTAAGTGGACTTGAACCTAAGTCTTTTAACTCACTCTTAGGATATGAACAAGTTTTAAGGATCTCTGTCCTACGCCTCTGGTAAAGTGCAAAAATAAACTGTGGTGTGACCATTATAAACATGTACCTTCCCTATTCCTGCGCCTAATCTAAATTGTTCTCCCCTTTTTTGAGGAGAAATAGCCTTATCCTAGCTACATCAGTGATTTTTCTCTACCTAATGCTGCAACTGCTCCTTGAGCTGCACAGGGAAGGAGAGTGAGGTGTTTTCTTCTCCTGACCCCGGGGCTCAGAGGCAGCTATTAAAGAAAGCAGGGTAGAACAGTAGGCCAAAGAAGTTTGCTCTGGGGCTGAGCATGCCCCATGAGGAGGCAGGGCAAACATCTTTGGTCATTTCTGATTAGGTAAATGATGACACCTGCTCTCTTCAGACTCTAAGCTAGAGAATGCTTTACTAAAGGGATTAGTCTGTGAGAAGCAAGCAGAGAACAGGGACAGGCCCACAGAGCAAAGCCGAGGTGCCCAGAGACAGGTGGTCTCAAATTGTGGTATAAATGTAGGGCACAGCCATCCCTAGAGCCATTACTGAGCCTATGGCCTCCAATTCTATCTTCAGACCTCTCATTCTCACTGTAAGCTGCAATCCAAAAGCATGATCTGTGGAATGTCAGGTAATTTTATTTTCTTTTTTCCCTTTAAAATAATATTCATAGTATGTGGTTAATAATTTCCTTTCAATAAAATAGATGGGAAATCCTATGACTTTTCTGGTAGTTGGTAATAAAAGGTCTTTGAATAACTATAGTATGTCCAGTCTATTACAAAAATCAAAATTTTAAAGTTCATTGAAAGTTACGATGAATCCTCTTTGCTAGCTTAGGCCAGCTGCTATTTCCCCTGCCTTGAGCCTCCATGCCCTCTCTCTGGGGGTGGGGATGGAAAAGGGGAAAAAAAGCTCTTACCTGGCTGTTACTGTCTCAAGCTCATGTTCACATCCTTTCCTAGTCAGCACTCCAGACTCACCCCTCTCTCGGGGAAATGTCTCTCGTAGGCTCTTTGGAGGACCACCTTCCCCGTTTCAAGTGGTATTTCACCTACACTCCTCGAGCAGGGGACATACTGTCCTTGGAAGCTGGTAACAACTTTTCCTTTGACCTGGCCCTCAACACTGTCTCCCCTCACACCAGACTCCTCATTTTCCGGAGGCTCACAGCTGGCCGTGCTAACAGCAGAGAGTAATGAGCAACTCAGGGAGTGCCCGTTTTTTCCTTCCACCAAATGAATGCCCTTTGAAGTCTTTTATTGAATTTGACTAGCTTTATTGCAACTGACCTGACATTTTTTCTGCATTCTCTGTAACTTTATTGATGTCATTTTGTAAGGAGGTAATGAGTTTAGCATGTTGTTCGCTCCCCACATTCTTGTACTCTTCCCAGTATTCCTTTTCACCGAGTTTCTCAAGAAATAGCTTCTCAGCATTATTTATTTGTGTGCGCATATCTGTTGGAAAGAAAATTAAGACATTGTACAATTTCAATGTCCTCAGAGCCATTACTTGTAACCTGGTTTTATGAAATTCAGTCTGATATTAAAATGCCATTAACTTATAAATATTAGTTTATATTTACAATTTTTAGAAATCTAAACTACTGAAGCTGTTGCTTATCTGTCCTTTGTAATTCAAGATTCAAGAAAATTAAATTCCCAATTATAAAGTAGAATTGTAGCCAAGCATGGTGGTACACACCTGTAACTCCAGCACTCTTTGTGGCTGAGGTAGGAGGATTATAAGTTTGATCCCACTCTAAGGAATGTAGCTCAGTGTGAAGGCCCTGGGTCCAATCCCCAATATAACAAAACAAAGCAAAAATGATTTGTGATTTGGGTTGTGATTTTGTCTGTCTGTCTGTCTGTTTGTCTATCATCTCCATACCCTCCCTAGGAATTTGCAAGTTTAAATACTCCTGCGACAGTTTAATAAGGGTATGATGTGGTACAATGCATTTTATAATATGTATTCTTCACTAGTAAATTGTCATTTTTTCTGGCCATTATGCCTCTGGGAAAAAGTGATTTCCACTTATTTCCTTTTCAGGTTCTTGGTAAACATGTTTTAAAGCACATGGTTGGTTCAGTCATCTAAAGTTTATTTGTTTGGACTTACCTTGTATGAAATGACAGCATATGATATAGCACATTTCTCCCACTGCTCCCTAATTATGTACAAGTACTGCACTACTTCAAACATACAACCTGTCAGTTTTTCCTGGTGTATTTGGTAAGCATCCTATTTTATTCAGACTTTAGGCCCAAGTATAATATCACTGAATATTGTACTTTTGAAGAGAAAGCATTACACAGGGCCAAGTCCAAGGAGCTTATTGGGTGTGTGGCTCACTACCACACACCACCTTGTTTGAAAGTTCCTCGAGGGGAAGAGCACATCTCATTCACCTCTGTAAATCCAGCCCTTGGCACAGGGCCTCGCAATTAGTTGGTACTCAATAAACTTATGAATGCAGCATTCTAGTCAGGTAAGAGGTATGTTCTTCAGTCCACAAGTCTAAACCCAAGATAATGCTTTTATTTTTTAAACCAAAGATATTATATATAAGATCACAATTACGCCTGGCAGGCATGAGGTCCTGAGTTTGAGTCCCAGTACCAAGAAAAAAAAAATCACAATTACTTATTCTTCTATAACTCAGGTGGGAAGCTGTCCTCTCATTTGAGCAGAGTGCTAGTCTGAACCCTGTGCCTTTATCAGCCCTTGAAGGGAGGTTGGCAGATGTCACTGAGGTTTTATAAAGAGAGGACACAGTGGTTATTGTTCTTTCTTAGAATCACTCTCCCTTGCCGTTTGCACATAGACACACACACACACACATAGACATACCCACACAGGGATACACTAAGATGAAAAAAAAAAGTTAAGATCTGATAGTATGTGAGGCCCTGGATACAGGTCAGCAGCACCCTGTCCTTTCTGTGGTTTTATTACATGAAAGAAAAAGTCATCCCCTTTATGCTCAGACTAGTTTTTTTGTTTTTTGTTTTCTTTTTTTTAGTCTTTTTTGAGACAGGGTCTCACTGTGCAGTTCAGGCTGGCCTTGAGCTCACTTTGTAGCCCAGGTTGGTCTTGAACTCTCAATGATCCTCTTGCTCAGCCTCCCGAGTGATGGGATTACAGCATGCACCACCATGCTCGGCACTCAGGCTATTTTGAGTTGGATTTTTATTCTTGTACCTGAAAGAATCCTAACTAGAAGTTGGAAGACAAGGGTTGCAAATTATTTCTTAAAACTTGCTGTGCATATGAATCCCCTGGGACCTTGTCAAAGTGGGGACTCTGACTCAGGTTCTAGGTGAGGGTGAGATTTTGCGATTCTAAAGTGCGCTACTGTGGAATTACACCCCTTAGAGATATAGGCGGGGGATGTTTCCTGTTACACTCACCTTATCACTCCAAAATCTAAACCAAGGCTAAAGCCCACAGAGCCAGCAAACAACAAACCTTCACATGAATGAATCCCCAGGGTGAGGAGAAGCTCAGCTTGGTATCTACCAGGACACTACCCAGTGCGCAGAGTCAGATGGATTTCATCTGTCTTTGATTACAGCCCTTACTCCTCCTCACTTGGCTGCAGCACCTCTGCTCATTTTTACTATTTCCCTCTCCCGTCCATTGAGCTACATGTGTTTGCAGGTGTAGTGGTAATGATGGCATTTGAAATAAATAAATAGCACTTACAACACTGGAAGACAAAAACATGAATACATTTAAGAAATAAATGATATATCTTCTCTGACAGTTTCCTACATTACTAAGTCACCTTTCAAGTTCTTTTCCTGGTTTCTTTCAAACTCCCACTTTTCCTTCATTGCCTCTTCCACATCCTCTCTTGTTACAACTGGAAGTCCGTCCGACTTCTTCTCACTCAGCTCCTTTAGTAGGTTATTTATGTGCCAGTTCTGTTCCTCCTTTAAGCGCCTATTCTGTCATGAAAATCAACAGTAATGAACAATATTTGCTGAACTGTTTGCATTGTTTTCCCAAACAAAGGCATATATATTAAGGCTTACAAAGTGAGAAACATTAATTAAATAAATTATACAGCTATCCATAGAAGCTAATGGGTCATTTAAAACTAAAAACCTATCAATGGAATAACCATTGGATAAGAATGCTACACTTTGAAGACTGTGCTATTAACCTACTCGTCTATCATGGGATCAATGAACATCAGTGCTAAACCTTGGAAGTTAATGTTTTCAATCTCCCACCAACACTGTCTTTTCTACCATTCCCTATTCATCTAGCCATGACCATGTGCCAGGTAATATGCTGGGTACTAGAGCTGTATTGGTGAACAAAACAGGAAAAACAATTACTGCTTTTGTATAACTTACATTATTGTCTGCTTCTTTTCCACAAATGACCCTAATTCTCTTTTACTAGGATGACAATTACTTACCATTAAAAAAATTCACACTTGAAATATGGGTCAGGTTATTTTTATAGATATCCTATTCATGTTCATAAACTACTTAATCAACTAAAAGTTTATTGCCTTTGCTATCTTATTATGTGTAAAGCTTAATCACACATTAACCCTTCGCTATAATAATTACTATGAAGTGAGGAAAACTAAACAGTAACCTGAATCCATTAGAAAAAAATAAGTACACCAATAAAAGTAACTACACAGGAAAGTATGAAAGGTAAAATGTATTTTTATGATTCTTTCCCCCTATTTAATTTAAAAAACAACTGCAAGAAAAGACAATTGCACAGTGCAATAACTATAAATCTATGAGCACACAGTATAGAAAGTGTTCCCTCTATAATGCCAAGAATGCAAATGAAGAGGGAGGAAGTGGAACTATGTTTTTGTAGTTACTGAAATTAAGTTGGCATTAATTTGAACTAGACTGTTATAACTGAAGATGTTAGGAATCCTCAGGGAAACTACTACGAAAATATAATAAAAGAAATATTAGGGAGGTAAAATGGTTCACTAGGAAATATTTAATACAAAGAAGGCAATAATGAAGAATAGACAAACAAAAAGAACATGAGACATAGAAAGCAAACTGCAAAATTCAGATGTAAATCTTCCTTATGAATAATTACATTAAATGGAAATGGGTTAAACATGAAAAGGAATAGCTTTGCAGAATGGATATTTTAAAACATAATCAACTGTATGATTTCTACGAGACACACTTTAGAGTCAAAATAACACGTAGGCTGAAAGTCTGAAGATGAACGATGTATCACACAAACAAACAAGTAGCCCAAAGAGCTGATTTATGAAAAAAATTGCTACTGAAGGCAAAAAGGACACTATATAATAATAATATAAGAGGAAAACCATCAAAAAGATATAACAATTGGAAATATATATGGCCTGCACTGGGTATTAAGGTCACCCCAAAATTCATGCCCATTTAGAACTTCAGAATGTGATCTTACTGGAAATAGTCTCTCCAAATGTAATTAGTTAAGATGAGGTCATATTGAATTAGGGTGAGACATAAAGTCAATAACTGGTATCTTTTATTAAAAGGTGGTAGGTCTCAGCAAAAATAGAGAACATAAAAGAACCAAATGAAAATTTGAGAACTTAAAAATTTAATAGCAAAAAGTCCAATGGATGAGCTCAATGGCAGAATGGAAGAGATAAAGGAAAAAATCAGTGAAAGAGAAGACAGAACAACAGAAATCAATTAATCCAAACAAAAGTGAGAAAATAAACTGCAAAGAAAAATGAAAAGAACCTTAGGGACCCAATTTTTCACATCCTTACTACCATTTTTGGTTACAGTAGTGTAACCTAGTAGCTGTGAAATAGTATCCCACTGTGGTTTTGACTTGCATTTTCCTAACAACTAATTATGTCAAGCATCTTTTCATGTTCTTGTTGGCTATTTGTATATCTTCTCTGGAGAAATGTCTATTCATTGTCAAACTGATCTTTGACAAAGGTGTACGAACAATTTATTTGACTTTGTCAATCAACAGTGTTAGAACAATTGAACATCAATGGACAAAAATCAAACCAAAACACCAAACAGCTTCATCTAAGTTTCACACTGTATACCAAAAAGAACTCAAAGTAGGTCATGATTCACTGTAAAAGCTGAAAACTGTAAACTTTAGAAAAAATAAGAGAAAAATATTTGGGATTTAAAGCTAAGCAAAGAGTTTTTTAAACTTGATACCAAAAGCATGATCCATAAAAGGAAAAACTGATAAACTAGACTTCATTTAAATTCAAAGCTTTTGCTGTGTGAAAGACCCTTTCAAATAAAAAAATAATAAAACATTAAAAAATTAAAAAGACCCTTTCATGAAGATAAAGACAAGCTAAAGACTAAGAGAAAATATTTGCAAATAACATATCCAACAAAGGATTAGTATTTAGTTTATATATTATTACATATATAATACATAGCATATACTATGTATGTTATAGCCCATATATGTATATGTATGTATTCTCAAAACTCAACAGTAAAAATATCCAATTAGAAATTGGAAAAATACATGAAAATAAACATCACCAAAGAGAATATATGGATGGGAAAAAAGCACATGAAAAGATGTTTAACGTAATTATCCATCAGAGAAATACAAATTAAAGCCACAATAAGATAACACTATTTACCAGAATAGCTAAAATAAGTTGATACCACCACATTCTGGTGAGAATAAGGAGAAACTAGACCATTGATTTATTGCTCCTTGAAGTATGAAATAGTACAGCCAGTCTGAAAAATAGTTTGGCAGTTTATTTACTAGTTTATCATACTAATCAGCAATTGCAATCCTGGGCCTTTAGTTCAAAGAAATTAAGTCACACAAATACCTGGACATGAACATTTATATTAGTTTTATGTATAATAGCCAATAACAACTCAGCTAAATGACTAAACAAACTGGTACGCCTGAGTCATGTAATGCTACTAAATATTAAAAAGGAACCAGCTCACAGTACCCACAATCTGAATGAATCTCCAGAGAATTATGCTGTTTCATAAAAGCCAACCAAAAGGTCACTTATTACATGATTTAATTTGCTTGCTATTCTTGAGACAAAAATAATAAAATATAATAAAAGTAAAGGACAGATTCATGGTTGTCAAGGGTTAATGAGGAGGTCCAATTGGGAGGGAATTGAGTGGCTATAAGCAGCAATATGAGTACTCATGGTGATAGAAATTCCATTATCTTGACCACCAATGTCAATGTCAATATTCTAGTTATAATACTGTGGTATAGGGGCTGGGGATTTAGTTCAGCAGCACAGCACCTGCCTGGCAAGCGCAAGGTTGTGAGTTCGATTCCTAGTACCGGAAAAACAAAACAAAACAAAACAAAGTACTGTGGTATAATTTTATAATATGTTTTGGGAACATACTATAGAGGATGTGTTATTTCTTATAACTGTATGTTAACCTATAATCATCCCATAAAAAGTTTAATTTTAAAAAATGAAGCTCAACCAATATTAATAATTTATTTTTTTTCAACTAGTATTAATAATTTAAGAATACACAATGTATTATTCTTTAAACAATTCCATTTTCTTGAATGAAACAGATTAATGTTTTGCTTACTTATACACAAACTGAATTACTTTGGCTTGATATAAGCTATATTAAATTGAAATATTTGTAGAAACTTGAAACTTGAATTTAGTACAAGCATCACTTGCCAAACTCCTGCACTGCCAATACTTTTTCCAAATATAGACTTTTGCAACTATTTTCATAAAAATGGAAAATTCCTTTATTGTTTATGTCTTGGATACTAAATAAACAAAACTTATTTTACTTATTTTAGTTAATTTTAGTAATATGAAGATGACCTTTAAATTTAATTCCATCTCAAAAACATTTGTCATGATATATGAGCCAAAAATGTCCAAAGATAATGATAATTCAGAAACTACTATGTAAGGCCTGAGTGCAAATGCTTAGCAGGGGTGAGGCCTTGAGTTCAGTCTCAGTAGTGTGGGGGGAAAAAAGAAAGGAAAAAACGAAGGAAGGGAGGAGGAAAAAACCCATTACATAAAATTCAGAAGGAATTGCCAGGTGTGGTGGCGCATGCTTGTAATCCCAGCACTTGGGAGGCTGAGGCCAAGGATCTCCATGAGTTTGAGGCAGGCTGGACCACAATGTGAGTTCAAGGCTGGCCTAGTAACACAGGGAGAATCTGTCTCAAGAAACATTATATATAATATGCCAATAACTTTTCCTTTTACTTTCCTCACATGGCACGATGTTCTCAAGGTTAATCCAGCTCTCCTAGATCAAAATTCTAACATACGGTACCGGAAAAAAACCAAAAAAACCAAAATTCAAACATAAGTATTCTTTCTAAGCATTTTTTATTTAAAAATTAGAACAGTATCACATATTTGAAAAATGTCATTGTATGTCGCATAAATATTGTTAAGTGATATTTTGTGTCACATATAAATTTAATACTATTTATATTAAACTTTCCAAACCCATATGAACTTCAAATGCAAGGGTGTCTGACAACATGTTACAGAATTCAATGTCTGAAAAATTATTTTGAGCAATATATTAAAACAAAATGTAGTTAGATGTAACTGCCAAGGTGTAAAAATATTTTTTCTTTCCTGTCCTTTTCTATCAGTGCATGTCTGCAGCACATAGTGCTTACATTTGTGGTAGAGTTGGTACATGTGCATAACACATCTTAATACCTCTTCTCATCTCCTTCCCTCTCCCAATCCCCTTCCTGTTTGAGAAAGATCTATTATTTACCTCTTGTTTTTCTCTTTACGTATATTTTGGGTTTCTCATATAGGAGCCATTATCAAGAAGTCAAATCAGAAGAAATGCTGATGAGAAATGCTGTGGAGAAAACAGAACCATTCCACACTGTTGGTGGGCCTGTAAACTAGTATAACCACTGTGGAAATCAGTATGGAGAGTCCTCAAAAAATTAAAACTAGAAATTCCATTTGATCCATCCATGCTCCTTATCGGTATCTCCCCAGGAAGTATTAAAGACATCATAATACAGGAATATAGGCATAGCCATGTTTAAATAGCTAATAGCTGAATCTAAATAGCTAATAGCTAAATCTTGGAAGCAGCTTATATGTTTATCAACAGATACATGGATAAAAATGTTTATTCTATGAAGCAAATCAAATAATTATTAAGACAAACATATGGAAAAAAAGTGTATTTACTAAATAAGCTACCAAAAAAGAATAATTTCATTTTCATAGGTCATGCCATGAGCTTTACTCTTTAGAACTTAAAAGAACAAGAATAAGACATTTCCCCAATAGTGCAGAATTCCAACATACTATTGACCCAACTTTGCCCAAATGGTAACATCTTATATCACCATAGTACATTATTAAACTTAGGAAGTTGACATTTATAAAGTATTAACAAAATGAGATGTTAGTCCTTTCAGTTTGTATATGCACTTATTTTGACTGTAGTATCATGAAATTTGATCATGTATATGACATATATATATGAATTATTACCAAATAGATGACATTTGAAGCTACAGTGTTAAGTGAGATCCCCCAACAGGGAATTTAGAGTGACAGAAAAATAGGCTGAGATCAGAACCCTGGTAAATATGACTAAGGAATGGATCAAGAAAAGCGCAATGAATGAAAAACAGGAAAAAATGGTCAGAGGGGTGGTAGGAAATTTTGACATAACTGAAGAAAAAAAAAAATGTATCTTACTAATCAGTCATGTTTACGGCCTCAAATTCTTTTCCATTGCTGTTACCATGAATTCACTCAATGAATATTTCTAAGAACCTACTTCAAGCAGGGCTCTTCCAGAGAAACAAAGATAGATAAGATTTGATTGCTATTGTCTAAAAAGCTTTCAGCTTAATAATGGAGATATATTTTTATACAATATTTCAGCTTAGACTGAGAGAATTAAAAGGTGCTAGTTAAGAGAAAAGCATAAGGGGAAGAGGAAACATTTTGGGTGTCTCAGTTACTTTTCTTGTTGCTGACACAAAATACCTGACACCCGCAAGTTAAAAGAAGAAAGTATGTAGAAGTTTAGTCTATAGTCAGCTGGTTCCAAGGCAGGGTGGCATGGCAGAGGGGCATCACAGAGGAGAGGAGAAACAGCTCACGGTGTGGAAGGAAGCAGCAAGTATCAAGCAGCAACAACAAGCAACAAGCCTGCCTTCCCTTTCTCCCTTTATTTATATTTCATCCAGGCTATAAGCCTACTAATAGCCCCGTCCAGGATGGGGCTTCCATTATCTACACCCAGAATTATGCTAAACCCATTTAGTTAACACACACTCTAGGTCCAGACACCTCTGAAAATCCCTGTCTGTGGATTCATAAGGCTTTGGGCAGACATCTAGACAAGCTATAACACTGACTAAAGATACAGTTGGAAAGAGACTCATTTTTCTAAGGCTGAAAAGAAACAATGGTAAACAAAGCATTGATCGTTTGGAGACAAGATTAGAGAGGTAAGTAAGGACTAGACTGTTCAGGGCCCTGAAGACATTAGTAAGGTCTATAGATTTTATTTTCTGTGCCATAGGAAGCCACTGAAAGGTATTAAGCACTGAAATGCTTACAGTATTCAAAGGGTAATTTTGGTTGCACTGTGAAAAATGCACTGGAGGGGGAAGCCTGGGTACGAGATGAAGATGATGATGTCTTTGATTAAGGCATTAGCAACATAAAAAGAAATAATATTCACATATATAGAGCTGGAACTAGTCTCTCTCTTCCTGTTCCTCACTGCTGGGCCCACTAATATGCAGACGTTGGTCTCATTCTTGAGCTAACTTGATACACATAAGAAATTCAATTGTTTTTTACTCCAAATGATGGGATAATGGAGATGTGATGGCTCAGTCCTGATCTACTGTACTTCCCACAAACTAATCTGACCTACGAGTCCTGACGCTCACAACTGTAGGATGTGATTGGTTCCTCGATGCCTTACTCCTCTTTTGTGCTCTGAATCTCTTACTATGTGAAACCTACATCTAAGCACCTAAGCCAGACTTCTTTCCACAGGCCTGTTTCTGTTTTAGTTCTTATGATGAATACTGACCCTTGAAAACTGTGACAGTATCAGAGCCATAATTATATCACTACCTACATTACCAGTGCTTGTCTTGTCCGAAAAAATACTTGCCAGATGAAGCTAGCCCTGTGGAAAAGAGAGGAATACCCATTTCTCAAGAGGAAAATTGAAGATTATACTAACTTCAGCCAAAAAAGACCTCATTAGTAAGTTGTACATTCAGGATGCCGACACAAGTCTTTGACTCTAGATTCCGTTAAAATTTGAAGATACAATCTTTATAAACAGAAGCAAGTAACAGTTAACTGTGGAAGTTTCAGGTCCATAAAATAAATATGTAAACACATTCATAAAAAATAAATGTGGATTTCCTCATTCATGACATGCCTTGAGGAATAAGTTGTTTCATTATTTATTATTTTCAAACTTTGTTTCCACTGATCTTTAGTCCTGATAGATATATACAGCACCTCTTTAACATTCATTTTAATCCTATTTTTAAAAACCAATATATCATTTTAGGTATCCAGTCATTTTAACAACTGAGATTGTAGTTTTTAAAAAGTACTTATATATGTACACATTCTGAAAATTTAGAAGAAACATTCAGAGGTTAAAAATAGAGAACCAGTGTTTTATAGTTTGGTTAAATAAGTCAAAAGGTAAATGTGGTTTCAAAGCTTTTAAATTTTAAACCATTGTCCTCAGGATCTAAATAACATAATAAGCTGACTTTCACTGACATTATAATAAATATAGTGGGAACATTAGTACTGTCTTGCCTCACATGTACAAAAGAACATAAATGAATTATAATCAATTGATTCCAAGCTTTGAAAATAATTTCCTAGGGTATGTTTCATTATAATTCAATTTTTGAAGCACATATGTAACTGTTTAATAGTTATATAAAGGCTCTAAATTTCATACTCACTCTTTCGTGATACTTTTGGTTCTTTTCCCTAAGCTTCTTAATTTGAAACATGAATCTCTCTACTGAGTTTTCCTTTATTTGACGGCTGAGAATAAAGAAAGATAAGATGTGTTATAATTATATATTTTAAGAAAAATTAATGAGATGAAATTTAAAGGGTAAATATTCGAATTTGAATATGCTATTAAATACATTACAGAAGCTTATTCAGGGATAAGAACCTTTCTCAAATGATTTGAGTTTCGGGGGTCAGGCATAGGAAGGATGGGGATTGAACCCAGCAACTTCATACTGAGCTACATCACTAGCCCATCTTTAATTTTTCTTTTTTCTTTTTTTGGTTTGTACCAAGAATCAAACTCACACTTGCCAAGCAGGCGCTGTGCCACTGAGCTACATCCCTGGCCCATTTTTAATTTTTTGATTTAAAACAGAGTCCCACAAAATTGCCCATACCGGGCTTGAACTTGCTATTCTCCTGCCTCAGCCTCCCAGAGTGCTAGGATTATAGGTTTGCACCACCATACCTGGCAGTCTTAGATTTTTGAAACTATTTAATTGAGCAAATACATTGGAGAGATAAATTTTTTATTGAAACCATTCCTGTTCATACATTATAAAATTTCTAATTAATTCAGCTTAAAGAAAATGTAGGAAAAGGCACACAGAAAACATGTTTCCTAGAATTCTAAAACAGACAAATATGACAAAAACTTTATAAAGGCAAGCATATTTTGAAATACCAAGGTATCTGGTTCAAGTTCATTAATGTACTGTCTTTTCTATAAATAATAAAAGCTTCTTTTCTGGCACAAATACATTTCTTTAACACTCAACAAGTATTTATTGAGATATCTTAGGTATGAAAAGACAGAAAAGAGCAGGAAGGTTTTGGTATAGGCAATTTGATACCGACTGCAAGTGTTAATAAATCACTACATTGCTATCATCTAGTCAATCTTACAACTTTAAATCTGAGACCAAAATAAGGCAACATAAATAGCTTTATCCCTTGCACCAATAAAAAATAAAACAAAACTAGAACAAACATACCACCTCTGGTGCAGTAAACAGCACTGGTTAAAGAATGAAGAACTCTGGTCTTAAATCCTGTCCTGATCATTCATAACTATCTGATCACAGGTGAGTCAAATTCTAGGCGGCACGATAGCGGAGTCTTGAGTTGCGCGGGGCAGGAGCCACGGCAGGACAGGCATTTCAAAAGTTTCTCCCGCGGTTTGACCAAGTATTGGTTGAAAGGAGCGCAGCCGAAACTGTCTCAAAGGAGGCATTATGCTTCCAGAAAAATCTCAAGGCAAAGTACTGCTGGCAACTGTGGTAGCTGTGGGGTCGGGCTCCAACCAGGCCCTGCCAGGTCCTGAACGTGTCAAAGGATGAGTCACTGATGAGTACAGCGCCATGATCCACTCACCTTCCAAACACACGAAACTGGGAGGGGGGGGGTGTTATATCTAAACCATAGCAACTATAATTGACTACTGTGTGCTCACTGCTTTATTAGAAGAGAAGATTGAGTGAGAAATGTAAGATGCTGCCTGGGAACCCCTGGACCATCTTCCTCAGATGGTGAGAGGAAGTGGCACAGTTCCATGTTTCATTCCAAAAGTTCTGTTGGACGGGAACACAAGGAATGAGTAAATTATCACCAGCAGAGCATGGTACAGGAAGCCTTTGGCTGTTTCAATTCACAAGATTATTTCATTTGAATAAATGAAACAAAGGCATGCAATATTTAGTTTATGTCTTGCACTATATCGTGAGAATTTTTCATATTTGTCTCTGTAAAATAGGAGAAAGACTGGCTTCTGGATGATCCCTAAGAGAGAAACAGATATAAGTAGAGGTCTAAACTATAAACCATGGGAGCAAATTAGAGACCAGTCACAGAGCCTGACTTTCTATACACCTTTCCTAAGATGAGATGAAGTTTTTAGTTATGTTCAGAAATGAGTGCAAATAGTATCTGCTTATATTTAATGTTATCGCAAGTAGAAGGTAAAGGGAAATTGCTGAAAGCTCCTTTCAGTGGATGTTTCTCTTTGAGTTCTGGCCTTCTCCCTTACTGCCTTCTAAAAAAAGATTATATATAGATATATTTGGAGTTTCTCAAGGGGAAAGAGATGGATTTTCCTTGAATGATATTAAAATAATTCTCTTAAACAAAGACCTAGTCACTAGCATTACAGGCTGCATACTTTCAACCTTATACCTCTCCAAACGGCTGCCTGCTTTCCAATCTCAGGTGTTCTTCTTGAGCTAACTCTTGCCTTAATCACCTGCATTTGCCCTTGCCGTCTCTTTCTCCCCTTCTCTTTTTCTCACTTCCCAAACTGTGATAAGCTCTTTTGAGTCTCAGGGTCTTCCCCCTACATTCTTTCCACCACTCTCTCCCCAACACCTGTTTCTCTTCTACATGTCAGCTCAAACATGACTTCAAATATGGTTTATTTGTATAAAGGCCAAGCCTTTAGTTATACTATTAAACAGCACCCTGCCCTTTTTTTCATAGTACTTTCCTTACAGCAACAAGTATACTACTATGTATTTATTTTTTAATTTAAATGTCTGTATCCCATGCTTCCTTGGGCAAGGACTGTATGATCCTGTTCATTGCTACTCCCTTATCTTGCTCATAATAAACTTTCAAGGACTTGTTGAATGAGGAAATGAAGTAATTTCAGTTTTATTTGGGAAAAGACTAATTCTTACTATTAATTCCCTAAATACATTAAAACATCTACCCTCGGGGCTGGGGATTTAGCTCAGCGGCAAAAGCACCTGCCTGGCAAGTGCAAGGTCGTGAGTTCGGTTCCCAGTACCGGAGAAAAACCAAAAAAAAAAAAAAAAAATCTACCCTCTACCAAAAGTAGAAATTCCCAAGTTTTCAAGGGGCTTTCTATCAGTTGGAATGAAACAACAATATAGAGTATTTGTCACCTCTAGTTTTCTCTCCAGTTCCTGGGAGTGAAACATGAAATATTCTCATTACTAAAAGTAATTTGTCTCTAAATCAATTGGATTTGATCTATGGCCACCTTAGAATAATGCAAATTAGAATGTCTAAAATATGGAAAAACAAATTAAAATCCTCTTGTGCTCTTCTATAAACATATTTTAACGTTGTAACATTGTCTGCTTTTTTTTTTTTGGTACCGGGAATCAAACTTAGGACCTCACATTTGCCAGGCACACACTGTGACGCTGAGCTACATCCCCAGCTCCCTTATAAATATATTTTAATCCTTCCATATAGAGTTTAAGAGGAAGCCAGCAAGCTGTGTATATATAGAAGTGAGTGGCCACGGAGGGAGCCAAAGCTACATCAGTGAATGCTTCTCCAGAGATACTATTTAGACAGTTACAGCCCAAGTTCCAAAAGCCTCTGAAACTATGCACATAGTGCAACGGCGTAATTATGTCTCCTACCATCTTTATTCTCTTGTCAGTTGTTTGTTTGTTTTTGTTTTTTCTGACGGTACCAGGAATCGAACTCAAGACCTTGCACTTGCCAGGCAGGCGCTTTGCCACTGAGCTAAATCCCCAGCCCCTCTTGCCAATTGTTGGAGGCATCATTTTCATTTGTAGTTACATATGTCTTAAGGATTATATTTACATAAGGCAAACTGTGCTTTCAGAGTACACACTTACTGATAATCTAGAAGAGCTTCACTAGCAGGCAGCTTCACTTCTCTTGGTGGTGCGTTTTGTATCTCCTTTTTATTTGCTTTTGCCATGCTTTCCATTGTTCCCATTAGCTATTAAGAAATAAACCTATTTTTAAAAAGAGACAGAAAAACAGAATAAATTCCATATTTGCCCCACTACTTGTGTTTACTCTAAATTAGACACCAGTGGCACTTAATTTAAAACTGGCTTTTCACTGCATGAGGTGGTAAACACCTGTAAATCCCAGCTACCTGAGACTGAAGAAGGACGACTGCAAGATTGAGGCCAGCCAAGGCAACTTGGCTAGAACCTTTCTCAAAAAATAAAATAATCAAAGTGAGCTTGGGATGCAGCTCAGTGGTACAGTACTTGCCTTGCATGTACGAGGCTCTGGGGTCAATCCCCAGTACTGAAAAAATAACCCCCAAACAGAACAAAAACAAAATCGGCCTTTCTATTCAGATTGCTTCCTTATCCCCAGATCTAACATTGACCACAAGACTGGAACATCAGGAATCAACTGGGTTCTTAAGTCTGGTGAGTTCCATGTTTAGCCCAGGTATAGCATTTCTGAACCTCATCCAAAACATTGTAGGACTCTCTTATGTTACCCATCTACATCAGTTACCCTATCACACTCCTTTAAGAGCAAAGCACTGAATTTTAAAAATCAATCTACAGTGTTTGGCAGAGTGTACTGCACATAGCAGCAGTTCAGTAAATGTTTATTAATTTCTTAAATTAAAAATACAAGGGCTAGGTGTGGTGCACACACCTGTAATCCCAGCTCTTGGGAGGCTGAGGTAGTAAGAATCATGAGTTTGAGGCCAACATGAGCTACATGGTGAATTCAAGGCTGGTCTGGACTACAGAGCAAGACAGTGTCTTAAAAAATCAACCAACCAATAAACCAACCTAACAAACAACAATTTTCTACCAGCACAGAAGCAAGAATCTGAAAGAATTAGAACCAGGACCCAAAAGAATTAGGCATTTATATTAGGCGTTTATAACAACACGGGTTGTTATAAAGAGACAGTAAAAGCATACACTGAAGTGTTTTTAAATTGTAAAGTGATTTACAAGTGCAAATAACAATGGTGTTTTGTATTAACAATAACTTTTCATAAGCTATTACATGCTTTTATATTTAATAATAAACATTATCAATAATCTTTTTATAAAGGAAAATCAAGGCCCAATGTTCCTCAATGTTTTTATTAGGCAGGAATACTTCACGGATTTGGTTTAGATATTAAAGTACACATTTCAGAGTGTGGTTTTCCTTAACAGATTTTTATCTTTTAATTTCTACTACTCCATAAGATTAAGAGCTTAATTTACAGTCTGTGTATCAGTAGTTTATTGTGGTAGCAAGCACATAATCTTTGCAATTATTTGTTTAGATTACTGTAAACTTGAGAGTGAGGATGATGTGGTTCTTGTGTATTTCCCCACCTAAAGCAACAGACACACAATAAACCCTTGTCCAATAAATATTCAAATAGTAGGTGAATCAGGTAAACATTTAATTTTAAACCCACCACTAACTGTGTGACTTTCAGAAGGTTAATTAATCTTTTTGAACTTCAGTGTCATCATCTGTAAAGTGAAAATGATAACACTCTTTCTTATAGGGATTAAATAAGCTAATATTTAAATCACCTGACAGTGTCTCATACCAAAAGAGCTTAGTAAGTATTATTCCTTCAGTTACAACCCCAGATCACGACCAATCTCCAAAGTTTGCTATTGTCAATTTTCATCATTAGTCTGGATCACCAGATTGTCAATCTGCATAGGCCACTGAGATCCACAATGGGAAAACTTGCTGAAATGAAACACAGTTTGCTCTGCAGACATGCTGCTCACACACCAGAGCCTCTGGTGAGGCTGTCTTTGTGTCTGAGACATCTATAGAAAGTGTATACAATATTGTATGCTGACAAATTCAAGTATACATGAAGGCAAATACTAAAAAACACACGATGACACAAAAAGATTTAACACATTAAAAAAGTATTTTCTCAAATGTGAAAGTATTGAGAATAATTCAGTAAGTTCCACACCAAAAATGGATCATTAGAACAACACAGTCCACAGAAAATTATTAGCTCAGAAAAGCTTGTTCCCGTCTGCTTTAGATGCAGAGTGGAATTTTTACATTATTATTTTAGAGTACGAATTTTTATCTTGGCTGTTGCACAAAATGATGGCATGCTGGTACAGGTTTCATTTTAAAACATAACTTACAATGTAATGATTTTACTACCAAATATTTTATTTAAAAGCTAAATGTCAGCATTAATGTCTTTCTTCCTGAATCACATGAGATCAAGTGTTAAGGTCCCCACCTGCAGTACCCATCTGGCACTGAAGGAAAATTGACCTCATCTTGCTCAATTACCTCAGTTAGCTGGCTCTTATGTTTTTAACTCTCTAATGTATAATTAGTTACCTAACTGTAGTTCATGGCAAAGAATTTTAATAAAATATGAGTGACAGTGTGGCTCCATTACAGCACAAATGATTTGTCCATAAATTATATTAAGATTCATTGTTTGACACACTTTTAAGAAAATCAGTAAGTCAGTTAGAATGCCTGTTTAACCACTGCATTTTTGCAATGAACTAATGACAGTACCTCAGAAAGTACCTCTGCATTTAATAATGTCCTTCAAACAAATGGGACTGCCATAAACATTGTAAATGTTTACAATGTTCATGGTGGCCATTTCCTGGCCACCCAGAGGATGTCTCAGTGAAGGGTGAGAATCTTAGAAAAATATCCACAAAGTAAATATTATCTTCCAGAAAGGTTACACTTAGAATAATTCCTGACAAATGCATCTCTAATCTGTTTGTCAGTAGCTGCAAACATCTATCTAGTACCTGCTCTGTACATGGTACTTTCCCTGGCTCTGGGCTGCATACCTCAAAGAAGCAAGATCCTTACTCAGACTGAAAGGAAGGAAAAAACATTCTGCAACAGAACTTTAACAAACACAGCGAGGAATTTAAATTTTCCACAATCATTTTCTTTGAGAAAATGTTTTCAAAAATATTCCCTAAATGCTTTTCAGTGAAAAGTGAGAAGTCTACTTAGTAAAATCGGACATACACTGTCATCTCCAAATGTTTTTCCACCATGCTTTGATACTGCAAAATCACCCAGCATGCAGAATGTGCGTCCCTCCCTGCACAGCCTCAGGGCCCTGCTTCAACGTCTACAAAGCTCCTGATGACTCTTTCACAGCTCTGTGGGGTATGAATATCCAGAAGCCTCCTAATGCCTCCCTTAATAATTGTGTGAGAGAGATAACAGTTGTATCCTAACAACCTTCTACAATAAAATGGATCCTGATGTTTGTTGGCTGATGTTTTATATAAGTGTAAATTAAAATTACAGATATATACCTAATAATATTTTGTGTTGACAAAGCTTTTAGTAAGATTCCATGAGGGATGAGCATATGATATAGTCTGGATGTTGGGAGTCTTAAAGTCTAGTCCTGGCTCAGCCATTAACTAGCTATCAGCTTACATAAGTCAGATAATAATAGTAGCAACAGTAAAAATGCAGCATTTCCTGAAGCCTTGTTAAAGAGCAATGTAAGTTGAAAGGTACAGAACTCATTACAGTGTTAATCACAAGGCAATACACACATTTAAAAACATTTCTGGCATTCAACTTCAATAAAACAAATTAGTGCTGAATAATTAACTACTTTGTCGGCACATAGGCCAGCAGCCCCCATGGACATGAATTAGATGTTTAATATTAATACTTGATTTGAACACTTGACTTACAAGTAATGCATGCTTACTTTCTTTACTGATGTCCCTATTTATTTGCTCATAATGTTAAAACAGACCCTAAATTTGGAAAGTAACATTACTTTTAAAGTTTTCACTGATGCCAGAAACATTTTTTTAACTTATAAGGAGAAAAGGTTTAATCTGGTTCATCAGAACATACTTTTAATACGGTTAGAAATGCTCTCCAGCACATTTAAAAAGCAATTAGACAGTTAGAAGTTACTATATCACCTAGAAGTCAGTTGTTTAAAATTTCAGACTTCACTTTATATAGATTATGTGTATATAGCCCCAGTTAGTCTCCAAGTTTGGAGAAATAATGTTAGAATCATATATTCAAATCTAGGTATTTAAAATATCTGGATAAATGACATTTTCAACTTCTACTTGGATGACTGATATATACATTACATTAGCATGTATTTTCTTTACTCATGAAAATTTAGTCACTAGCACATTTTTAACTGCAGTTCCAAATTATATTGGATTCTTAGCTTTAAAATTAGTCTGTCTTTATTTTATTTTTTTATTTTTGTGTCTTTCTGAGACAGGTTCTCCACACACAGTTCAGGCTGGACTTGAGCTCACTTTGTAGCCCAAGCTAGTCTCGAACTCACAACGATCCTCCTGCCTCAGCCTCCTGAGTGCTGGGATGACAGGCATGTGCCACCACACCCGGCCAAAATTGGTCTGGTTTTGATCCAGAATTGCTAATACACAATAGTTTAAAATACAGATTATACCAATTTCTCTAGTAATCAGAACTACATGTTTTCAGTTTTCTGTCCGTCAACCTTAGAAATGTCAAAAATGAAAACCAAAAGATAATAACATTGTGTAAGTAATCAAAATACACGGTACTTTCATAGGCTGACGGTGGAGAACAAAGGCCTCTCTACCAGAGCACCAGTGAATATAAAGAGGATCGACTGAGTCGGGTCTTGGAGGTGTCTGCCAGGAAATCCATGAGCAATTATCACAAGCACTGATGTGTATTCGGCCTTACTTTATCTCCGCCTTCAGAGAAACACATCTTCCTTTGACAGCCCTCACCCCTGGCTTTGATGGGGCATCTTTTCCCATCTACCATTTCTTCAACTCTCTCTGCCCAGCAGAGAATCATGCGGTAAGGAGGGGAGTGAGGACAGAAAGCACTATGAAAATCTAAGAAGCAATTCATGAAAAAAAAAAAAAAAAAATCATGGAAGAGGAATCCAAGCGTTAACCTTGGAAGGATGCTGTAGGACCCAGGAAAAGAACTGAAACGAACCTATGGCTGAGTTGTGGGGTGAGAGGGCACGGACAGCACGCTGGGTGCCCACGCGTTGTTAGTGTGTGGACAGAAGCACAGAGGCTGATTGCTACCCTGAGTTTTACAACCTCAGACCAGCGTCCTCCTCTGGCTTCCCATCGCCTGTCGAGGTCTCCGAGGAGGCTCCACGCCTCGGGAAGCTGTGAGTGCGGTAGCCCGGGGCGGTGCAGACGCCGCCGCTCCTAAAGGACGGCGCGGGTAAGACGCCAGGGACGGAGCCTGAGACCAAGCGCAGACGCTCCGAACCCGCCCACCGGGACGCCGCGGCCCCGGCTTTACTCCTGCACGCACGTCTGCAGTGAAACGCAGCTCACAGATCAGGCACACAACTAACCCTACAGCAGGACGGCCCTAACGACGTGCTGTGAGGTCACTCGAACTGCTGACTTCTGGAACTCTCCGCTTCCCGTTGGCGGCCGGCCGCGGCCTCGGTAACGGACGGCCCAGCGAGGCAGGCCGGGCCGAGGACACGCACCTCCGCACTGGGTCCCGCCCCGCACGGCAGCTCCCGGCGGGCACACGCGCACGCAGCCCGGCCGCGCAGGAGGACGGAGAGGCGGCGTCGGCTCGGAGCCCGCCTTCCCGTCCCGTGTGAGGGCGGCCACGCGAGCCCCTCTCAGCCGCCAGGAACCGCGCGCCGAGGGGAAACGGGGGCGCGTCCCCGCCGGGCGCGGGGCGGGGAGCCGTGCTCCCGGGGGCTTCAAGGTCAGACCGGAAGGGGTCGGCCGCCGCTCCGGCCCGCTCCTCACAGCCCTTCAACAACGCGCAGGCGCGAACGCGGGGCGGGAGGTCGGCAGCGCGCGCTCGTCCAGCCCCAGCTCACGCGCCCGCAGCCCTCCGCGGGCCCTTAGTTTCCTAGGCGACCGCCCTTCCCTGTTCAGCAGCCAGCGCGGCCAGCGCGCGCCCGCTGGTGGCCACTCGGGGAAGAGTCCGCCGAGGGCACGCCCTCCCCCACCCCAGCCCCGCGATCTCCGCGGCGTTTTCCGTGCGCGCGCTCCTCGCCTGCCGCGGCGGCCCCCGGGAAGGCGGGTGCGTGCGGCGTGGGGGTCGCTCGGGTCCCCCTCGGGTGCGTGTTTCCTGCTCTCTGCGCGGGGTCACAGCCTGCGCCTGCCCCCCCCGCCCCGGGGCCCTGTCCCGCCGGGTTCCTCGGCTCCGCACGGCGAGCGGAGCGGACGCGGGGCGACAGCTTGAGTCGGCTCGGAGCCGGGTGCCGCGGCCGCGCCGCGAGAAAGTGGGGGTCCGCTTCCCCTTGCTGTGACTCTTTGCAGATCCTCCTCCTTCCAGGGAGAAGGAATCCTCACCTTCAGCTTCTCCTTCCCCGTGCCCCGTTCCCGCCGGACAGCGAGCCTCCCCAAGCGATTCTTTCCCCGTCTTGAACTCACCTTTGAAAAAATACCACGTGTTGGTTTTTTGGATCCATGCTGTGTTGTATTAATAGCACATGAAAACCTTAGAACGGAAGGAGCTAATAAAAATACTAATTAGCTTTTGGTGAAGCGAGTTTTTGTTATCACTAAAAAGTCATTTAAAAGTTAACCATTTTGAAGGAACTTGTATTCCACCTCATTTAAACCTCCCTTTGTTCTACCGATGTTACGCATTCATAAAGTAATTTGCTGTGATCTGCGCATCGGTAGTTTTTTAGTTACTTGGTCTTCCCTGTATTGTAGGCAGCTGAGGTAGATAGAAATACTATAGGCAGTCAGACAGGGCCAGGCCCTGGCGAATGGAGACGTATTTGCTGCGGGCCAGACCTCAAGACAAAAGACTAAACAGATGCACCCACATACCTCCCTAGGTGCGAAGGTCAGGGATTGATACTCTAAATAAGTAACAACCACCTTGGAAAAGCCGGGAAGGGTCACCAGCCCAACCCCCTACAGGAAAAGCCCGTGTTCTCTATTCTTACCCGCTTGCTACGTGACTTGCTTCCCCATTTGATCCCAATCTAATCAATTTTACCTGAACAATTATACTTGTAATCTTATTGGCTGACCATAGTTTTGTCCCTCTCACGCCCACTTTGTAATTTCCCGTTTTCCCCCTATCTTGGAGCCTCCTCACCTCCGGGTTTTGCTCTATAAAGGCCCTGGGAGGGGCAAGGTCTTTGACAACCCACTCGGGTCGCCTTCTGTCCCTGTCTTGGACAGAAGCTTTCTTCCCTCAGTAAATATAGTCTGCTTTGAACAGAGCAGGTTGTTCCTAAAATTCATTCTTTGATTTTAGAGAACACGAACTCGTCCCGGATATCGTTCAGATTGGGAGTTTCTTTCCCCTGTATCACCCACAGTAAAAACAATAGGTCGAATTACAGAGCAAATCTATTAAAGTGCAAAAGCAGGAGAAAAAGAGCTGCCACCAAATTTTTTTTTAAAACGTGGAGTTTTTTTTTTTTTTTTAGTTAAATGGGAAACAGTTTATGATTTTTCAGCAGTTTGAATTCATTCCCACATCATTTCCTATAAATCTTAGGCCTGCTTCTTTTATGAGAGCCTGGGCCCACGGTCAAATATGTACTTTTACCCTATCATTTGTCTCCTGCTCAGTTTTTCTGATGGTGCTCGCCAGTTGGTGGTCAAACAGTGAAGCCAGATCGAAACCATTTGCTGAGTTTCCTCATTTGACCCTGATTTTCTGTTAGCTTTGCTATGTTGAATGATGCACAAATAAAAATAGGAAAATATCTATAGTAGAACAAGCCAAATATGCTGTTTTTAGCAAAACCACAGGAGAAAAAAATTGGTTAATAGGTTACATTTTTTTTTTTAAAAATTACTGGAGTCTTTTTTTCAAAAAAATTTTTTAAAAACCATGAATACACTTGGCTTTGCATTACTTTCACCTGTTTTCTATGGAGATTAGTAATTCTGCAAACAGATTGCAAAGCAATCAGGTAGATATTAATGTTAAATATCATCATTTCTGGATGCCCTAACTAGAGATCAAATTTTTGGTTCAAACTTCTATATACCAGACATTCTACTGGTGACAAATCTACTCTTGGGAAATAGAAAATCCCTGCTACAACATCTTATCCAAACACTTTGTTCCTGTTAAGTTTGAAACAAATCATACTTTGCTGAAGAAAGTCATAGGGCAAAATGAATATTCTCTTTAGAAGAAAAAACTTAGTTCCCGCTACTTTTAGGAAGACAGGGAGAGAAAGTCAGAAGGACAATGCTTTGACCCAACATCCAGTGCCATGTTGCAATCTTATAAAATGGGATGATTTTCCACTTTATATGTAGGGTCACAGTCTTCTCCCTTAAGCCTGCGCCTACCCCTTAAATCCACTTTCTTGTCTTCCTCTCATCTGCTACATGCTTACTGTAGTTCTAAAATGTGTCCACGAAAGGCCAAACATAAAGGTCATAGAATATGCCAAAAAATCCAAAATATACATAGGTGGTCAGGTGGCTAAAAGTGAACAAGGAAAGAATAATTTTTTCAACAAATTGTGCTGTACCGACTGAATATCTAGTTGAGAAAAATATGAAACTTGACCCTAAACAAAAACCACGTAAAAAATTAAAGGGAATCAGACCTAAACATAAAAGTTAAAACCATAAAACTTCTAGAGTAAAATTGAAGAAAATCTTAGTGACTATGGGTTGGTAAATATAGGACTAATATAGGCCTCTATTATAGGAGTTCTACTATAGGACTCAAAAGAATGGTTCAAAAAAGAAAAAAAATCCAGACTATGCATACTGAAAACTTCTCTTTTTAATTTTAAGAATATGAAAGGTATAGTAGCACATGCCTGTAATCCTAGCACTTGGGAGGCTGTGGCAGGAGGATCAGTACAAGTTCGAGGACAGCCTGGGCTACATAGTGCGTTTAAGCCCCGCCTGGACTACACGGTAAGACCCTGTGTCAAAAAATCAAAACAGCTGGGGATTTAGCTCAGCGGCAAAGCACCTGCCTGGCAAGCGCAAGGTCGTGAGTTCAGTTCCCGGTACCGGAGAAAAACCAAAAACAAAAAAAAAAACCAAAAAAAAAAAAACCAAAAAAACAAACAGACAGCAACAACAAAGAATATGAACAGGCAAGCCATGATCTGCAAGAAAATATTTACAATACAGATACCTGACAGAAGTCTGTTATCCAGAATTTATAAACAACTCTTAAAACTCAGTAACAAGAAAACAAAACAACTAATTACAAACATCAAAAGATCTGAGCAGGCACCCCACAAAGAAGACACATTCATGGCCAATTAGCCATGAAAAGATATTCAACACTATCAGTCATCAGGGAAATGCAAATTAAAGCCACAGAGAAACACCACTACACACCTACTGGAATGACTCAGTTTAAGAAGGCTGACAGTATCATGTGTAGATAAGGATATGGAGTAACTGGAACTTCTGTACATTGCTTGTGGAAAAATAAAATGACACAGCTATCTTGGAGACAATTTGATAGTCTCTTATAAAGAAATATACATTGTATGGCCTGGCAGCCCCACTCCTAGATATTTGTTCAGGGAGAAATGAAAGTGAATGCTCATAGCAGCATTATTCTTAATAATCTAAATCTGGAAATAATCCACATAACCATCACTAAGCAATTACCTCAACAAAAAGTAGAATATCCACACAAATAGAATAGCACTTAGCAATAAAAAAGTAATGTCATATTTAAGCAGAAACACAGATGAGTCTCAGAAGAATTTAGCTAAGTAAAGACCCCAAGTGTAAAAAAGTATATAAAGTTCTAGAAAAAGCTTGAAAGCACATCAGAGGTTGCCTAGTACAAAGGCGTATGGAGGGGGCAGGAGAGAACCTTCTGAAATAAAGGTAATCTTTTCATTGTGGGAGTGATTATAAGGTACATGCATTTGTTAAAACTCACTGAAATATATATTTAAATAGGTGCATTTTATTGCATGTAAATTATGCCTCAATAAAGTTAATTTTTAAAGGTAACTTCAAGTTCTTTGCCATCCTTTTGTCAAGATATGGACTCACTATTCCCTGCCCAAGAACCTAGGTGGTCTCATGATTACTTCAACCAAGAGTATGGCAGAAATGACTATATTACATCTGAGGCTGTCATTAAAAATCATACAGATTCTACTTGGATCTTTTGTAATACTTGCTATGGAGGAAGTGAGCTGCCATGTAAAAAGTCTATCTCCTATGGGACAATCATGCTGGAGATGCCAGCTCTTGGCTCTGTGGTCAGCTGTTCTAGATGAGTCCACTTTCTAGCCCGTAAAATCCCAGACATGAGTGAAGTCATATTGGATCCATACTAGCAGCCCTTCTTCAGGTAAGTATTGCTGAAATGAGCTCAGTGTGTGCCACAAAGAGGGAGAGCTATAATGAAAATGGTTGTACTTTTAAGCCTCTTGGTTTTGTTAGTTTATTAGTTATCTGCTACTGCATAAAATTACCACAAAATTTAGTGGTTCAGGACAACACTAAAAATGAAATATTTCACAGTTTCTATGGAGAATTTGGGGGCAATCTGACAGCATTTTTACCTTCCTGTATCTTATGAGGTCAGTTTCTGGACAGCTTCTATGTCTGCCTGAAGGAGTTTTCAGTCTAAGGAGAAAGAAGAGCCATCACACTGACAGGAATGATAGCACAGTTACCGCACCCTCAGGAGGAGGGCAGAGAAGCAGGGTGCTATGGAAAACCTAACCCAGACTCGAGTCAGAGAACAATTCTTGGAAGAAGTCAGGTCTAAACTGAGACTTGCTGAAAAGGAACTAATCAGTTTAGGGTATTAGGTGGGAGGGTCTGGGACAGAGTACACAGCACATACAAAGGCCAAGAAGTAAAAGGGGGAATGGTGAATTTCTAATGGACCTGAAGAAGTGAGGCTAGGGCAGGAGGATCTCTGTGAGTTCAAGGCCAGCTTGCACTACGTAGCAAGTCCCCATCTCAAAAAAGAAAAAAAAATTTACTCTGGCTAGGTAACAGAGTGGCAGAGATGGGGAGGACGGATGCAGGGCAATAGAGAAGCAAGCAGGAGCAGATCATATTGGTTTGAGCCGTGTCGAGGACGAGAGGCTCTGTCAGGCCTGAAGTTCACTCTGGCCGGTGTGGAGGAGGTTGGGAAGGGTCACCACAGAATCAAGTTCCAGATGAACTCTACTGACCACGCTGCTAACCTTTCTTTTGCCTAAGGGCCTCTCACCTGGGACCTGTTTTTCGTCCAAGGAACATGTCTCAGCCTCTGCCCTTTGCAAGATGCAAGTGACTGGCAGAAAGAATGACCTCATCGCTCTGGCTCAAGTTGTCAGTTTGCATAATCTCTGAAGGATTCTATGACTCAGGTGAAATGCCCGCCCCCACATGAGGAAGTAGCCTATGAAACTCTACCATCACCACAACATCAGGAAACATATTAAAAGCACTAGAACATAGGGAGTAACACTACCTCACATCTGGAGGATGAGGCAGTAAGAAATTCTAATTTCCAGCTTTTAAGAACTGGATTTGGTTGTATAAGGGAATATACAACTACA